TATGCAGGATGATACTTTGAACAAAACTCTTTGCAGTCGAACGTTAATTCCCTTCAATGCAAATTGGGCTCCTGTGAACTTCTTATGAGTTATGATCCATCAATAGTGATGAAATCAGCATCAATGTCGGCTAGCATTAATTTGGTCTTCTTGTTATGGATGAATTTTGTCTGAACTTTCAAGCAATCGTAGTTAACTAACACCATAATAAGCAGGCTTGTCATACCTTACACTAGCGGACTTGAGGCAGAAGAAAACTTATTAATATTCTTCTGTGCTGCATTGCCTGTTCTTTATGTGAACTCATTCTTATTAGAAAAAGTTAAGCGGCTTTAGAAAATCTGGAAAACAACCCACGAAACTTCTCTTGATGTGCTAGTTCTCGACTAGTTTAGCGAAATCACTTTATGCACAAAATGACATAGTTTGAAACTTCACTATTCGAATAGCAAAACAATTCCGAATAGGGAAGTTTAACGACCCGCCTCTAATAACTCGGAGGTAAATTCGAATTTAGGATGTATTCGGCGCACCCGAATACACAGACACACACTCACACACACACACAGACACACACACACACACCTGTTCTGTTCACTGTTTGCTCGAGTGAAGGTCAGGGCAAACAGAGCGCGCGTACCTGATGGTCTGGAGCAACTGCTAGCAAATCTAGAAACTAGCATCGTTTGAATCTCATGCCATTTAGCGCCTCATTATAGAAACATAAACTGCTTTACAAAAAATTTTTATCAACAGTTTATTTATATGAGATATTATATTATTAAAAGAGACTGAGTTATTCTTAGTTCGCTTTCAAGTGGTTCTAGGTTATTGGTTGGCATGCAATAAAATACGCACATATGACACACCTATCCATTAAATAAGTGCATAGCTGCTTGGTTACATTATTTTGTTCTATACTCGTAACGTTTTGTATTTCGTACCGCCGGACTTCTATATGTGGATTCATGTGCAATCGAATATGCGTGAAGATTAGTCTATAAAATACCAATTTAGAGTTTTGAATAACATCATACTGTATTTTTATATCAACCACATCTTCAATTTAAAAAATTAAATTCCAGGTTGTGCAATTTACCGCCTCACGCCTGCATTCATTCCTCAGTTATTATTTCAAGCATCACATGCTTTAAGCTATTGTCGGAGTTAATAAATTAACATTAATAAATTAATTATATATATAAAAGTGGGGCGCGACTCACCAACGCCGCCAGATGGCCTAAAAACGGCCAAGTCCGCTGACAAAAATGTCTATAATTCAATATAAACTAATAAGTTTGTAGGATCCGGAATAAAAATTTAATTTTCATTTTTTCGTACTTTTTATAATTTAATAAGGAAGTGATATCATAAATTTGTGTCTGGCAATTTACAATTGAAAAACTAAATCGCGGAATTTATTCGGAAAAAAAACTTGCAAGCCAGCAATGGGTCGCGCCGCAATCAACGTGTTAAAATTTTAAAATTTATTCCTTTTTTAATTTATTTCCTTACTTACGAGCACTATACTGCGTTCGGCTTTGCATGCGTATTTTACACATCGTGTCCAGTTCTATGCGTCAGTTTTCAATATCATGAGAATGATAGCTCCTTTTTTTTTGCAATTCCGAGCTACCAAATAATCTTCAAAAACATATAAGCTGTAAATTAAATTGATTGACGTGCCATCAGTATTAATTAATATGCTCCAAAGTTTCGGTGAGTGGATGAGCAAAGAATCGTCTCTCCATGGCGCTTATGTGAAAACATTATATATTGAGTTTATTTAAGTCCGGTAGTTTCAATATTTGTTAAAGGCTGATTTCACAATGTTTGTACCAAATTTATGGAGTGGTAAATTCGCCGTCTATTGAATATACTACGAGGTTTCTTAGAGTGGAATCCTTACTTCATTAGATTCGGTCCTGAGGTCTGAATTACGTAAGGAAACTATTTCAATGTCATTAGGTTGGTCTTCAATCTGCTGATAATCTTTACTTACACATTTTAAACAAGGTTTAGAAGCTGCATTCTTCAGTTTCTAGTTTCCTTCCGATCTTTACGCCCTCAGACTACGAGGTCGGCAGCTCGGGGCGAGGTTCACAGAGTTTTTGCTGTTAGCTCTGCCGCCGACAATAATTGTTTAGCTATTCACATAAATGCGTTTGTACTCTAAGCTTACACTCAAATTCTTGTATAAATTCTATTAAATTCATGTAAATTTCACTGTTAAGAATTTTTTTTATACATATAGGATATTTTTTGCTTTTTTTTGTACTGACTGGCATATCTTTGATAATATTTTTGAGGTATATTTTTTCAACTCTGAAACCATGATAATAATTACAATAATTTAAGAGGCGAATTTATTCCTTCAGAGCCTTCATCTCATTTATCGTCTGGATTTGCTGAGTTTAGTTTTTGATAGCTCGTAAATAGTACGGCTTTCCATCACAAGCAAATTTTAAAATTACCAACACCATTTGAAGTCGACGAAGCCACGCAAAATAGAATTGTTAGCTCGCAATAAAAATTTATACCATACGATCTTGTTAGTCAATACATAGACTAATCGTTGATATTATTCAACCTCACAGAAGAAATCATTGAGTGCCATGAAAATTGTTTCCTGATTTTCATCGCAAAATATCACTTAATCTAGATTAGTCATTATTTTTTTTTGCTAACAAGATGACGTTATTTTGAAGTTAACTACGAGGTCGAAGATCAAATTCAGGAAGATCTTTATCGCACTCAAGTTGCAGGGTTCATGATAAAAGAGCGATGTTAACCGTCAATGAATAACACTATAAATTTGAAGAGACTGCTCCGCCCAAAGTTAATCTTCATTTTTCTCATTAATTATCATAGATTTTTGGTAATAAGTCGTCGAACACACGAATTAGGATCCACATTTTACCTGTTTGCATGTAAACGTGTACAGTCATGCAGGCTTCCTCGCGCCGATATCTTTTGTGAAAATTTCAGAATTCGCATGCAATATTGTCACCATTGGGTTTACATAATAAATTTGTTCGGATAGAAAGCTGCCAAAAAACTAAAGTACCGTATTAAAGAAATTCTAATAATATTTTAAACTAATTTCTCAGTTTTATTAGACCACAGACAATTTGATCAAGTAATTACTTCATAACTATAACCATATTAAGTAGCCATATAATGCCTCAAACATACATACCGATCAAAAATACTTGTTCAGTATTTTCCTATCAATACAAGTATTTCAAAATTTATTTGAAGTCATAAAAGAAAATTAAATTACTTACAAAATTATGTTAAGCAAAACGTTGTCTAAAATGATAAATTTCAAATGTTTCAAAATTTATTTGAGGTCATAAAAGAAAACTAAATTACTTATAAAATTATGTTAAGCAAACGTTGTCTGAAATTATAAATTTCAAATATTTCAAAATTTATTTGAAGTCATAAAAGAAAATTAAATTACTTACAAAATTATGTTAAACAAACGTTGTCTGAAATTATAAATTTCAAAATCTAGTTAGCATATTTGAGGCACATTTTTCTGTCTTCCTATAAGGTGTCCAATTACAGGCCTACGCACGCTTCAACAGACAGCGGAAGTCGGCGCAGAACATCTGCGTTTTTTTAAAGCTTTTGATTGTCATGGCCAGCCTACTGACCATGGGGTGAACCCAGTAAACACTCATTATGCTATTACTCTCATTAATTATGAGAATATTTATGTATTTGCATGCTACAATAAATAAATATTTTCGCAGTTGCGCATAGTATTAAAGATAGATTCATAATTGGCATATGTTATGTACTTTTTGTAATAAAAGATATTGTTTAATTGATATCAAATTACCTCTGAATTGCTCCATCAGGAAATTGCTCGTAAATGTACTCAATAGAAACATAGGGTATAAAAAATGGGTGAATAACACAGAATAAGCTATATATTGTCGAGTAAAAGTGTATAAGTGAAGTATATTGTAAAGTTAACAAAGTGTTATTTGTTGTTCAAGTTTTTTGCGAATTTTCGGCATTTCGACACAATCATTTAATAATTAGTCGTTCTCATTTTAGCATTTTTTATGCCTCTCATTTGTGAATGTGTTTTTAACGCCTCGCTAAACAAGTTAACAACCCTCAATTACTATATTCGATGATCTTCATTGTATACAGATCCTTATAATAAGCGCTGAGAAAATGCGACGTATTGCACATACCAGCACTATGATACGTACGAGGATCTCTGTAACGGTCTCATTTCCTGTATTAGGAATGAATTTTATATAATTTTGATCCGCATACATGGTTACTGACATAATAATGAATGTTATTCACGGCCCTATTCAGTCAGGTCACATTCTCTAATGGATGATGCAATCATTTTGACGAGTCTCACTGTCTACGAACTCTGCATGAGTACATAAATTGATATGAAGGTTGTCTTCATTTGTCTCTACATGTTATTCATGTCTGGGTTACAGCATTGCAACATCCTTAGCAATCACAATGTCCCAATTAAGACGAGCATTAAGATATGATTTTTAACTGTTATGTTCGCACTCAATTTGTTAATGTTGCAAGGCAAAAATAGCCCGCAATTTTCTGGGTAAATTTGATCAAAAATATATACTTCAACCTTTCACTTTTTCACATAACTAATAACTGTCATGAGAGTCATACATTAACAAAAACTAAATTTTTCCGGATCATCTCTGAACTGGACCGAAATCTTTCGCCATGGGCACTATTCGCTTGCTCATGCCAGTCATGATTGAAATACATGCCCAATTACTACGAAGATACATTATTCGTCGTCGCATCCTCATGTTGTACAATCATCTAAAGGCCACTCTAAAGTTTTCGTAGGGTGCGGAAGCGACACAGTTTGTCCTGCGGCAAACAACTTGGTAAATGTAGCGAGGTCAGCACTGTAACATCTCTAGCACGGCCTGCCAACTCGGAAGTTCTCAATCACGCCTTAAGTCGATCAGCAAGCCCAGTCAACTGACCCTGATGCTGGGTATATGAGCTACCTAAATTTCTTGAACACTCACATTCGTGTCCAGACTCCAACATGTTCAGTAAGGTGCGTACGAGCTGCCATAATTGACTTGATATTAACTTGAAACTTTTCTGCGCGATACGTATAATCTCCCAACATTGTTTCAAACCCCAGTTCTTTGTGTAAAGATGGATGAAGAAATTTTTTCCACATTAACTCGTTATGTTAAGTAATTTGTATATTCAGGTTTCCCTGCTAGATCGATGTAGGTTATTACTTGCTTTATACAAACGAAATGATTCCGAGGCAGTTCACTGGTCGGACTCCTGGTGAAACCTACAAATATATAAGAAAGCTAGGAACATCGAATTATTAGTTGTTGAAACTTAAATTTGGAACCTTTTGTAGATAAATGCCTTCATAATTTCAATGATTACATCACAGTAGCATCCGTGATTACTGCTTTTATATCTGCATACATGAATGTTTATTTGACATGAACAAACATTCACAAATCCATATTAAACAGAATCTAGGGCGTGTTTATAAATTTGGCTTATTAATCTACATAATTCCACATCAGAAAATGTATATCCTCACCAACATTTCTCATTAAAATACATCTGTTCATGTCTATCAGCCGACAAGGCAAATAATTCAACAAATGTGACAAACACTCAATCAGATTTACATCTCAGATCGCCATTGCTTGCGTGCTTGTTGCCGTGGCCGTAGCGCGGCCTGACAAGCCTCCCACCAGAGGCTACAGCTACGACGAACCGTCCAGACCCTTCGTGTCAGGCCGCTACGACGCCCCTGAAGCCGCCACCACCACCACAGAACGTGCTCCTGAAGCACCAAGGGCCTCATACCAAGCCCCACAGCCCACCTACCAAGCCCCACAGCCCACCTACCAAGCCCCACAGCGCACCTACCAAGCCCCACAACCTACCTACCAAGCACCCGAAGAATCCGATGAGGAACCTGAAGTGACCTACGCTGCGCCGGCTGCTCCCAGGGCCACGTACGCCGCTCCCAAATCTGAGGAGTCCGAGGAAGATGCGGTAAGATACTTTAAGTTATGAATTTTTTTGCTGAGTATTGTAAGTTTTAACAGACTGAGTATAAAATTACATAGTTTCATATTTCAATCATGCTAACACGTTGACTCCAAAGTGCGTACCACGAAATGTGTTTTTCCAGGATGACGTGGTACATAATAAAGGGTCAACAGATGCCTAAAAACGGCCAAGTCCGCAAAAAAGGTCCGAAAAGGCCTATAACTCAATATATACTAGTATATTTGTCGATTCCAGTGTGCAAATTCAATTTATTTTTTATTTGCAGTTTTTAAAATTTAATTGGGAATGACCCCTATCATAAATTTTAGCCGGCCAACGGAATTGAAAAAAAGAACTAAATCGCGGAATTGGTTGGGAAAAAATAATTCCGTCCGGCAACCGTGTTGCCCGACGGACAAAAAAAATAGTACAAAAAATTATATAGTATTACAAGATTAAATAATCGGAGTCAATGTATTAACATAATGAAACGTCACATCTCAGCGCCACACTTTAGTTTAGCCATATGTTTTTCATAAGAATTCTATTACAGCCTTTGATGCCGTTCGACTTCGGCTACATCGTTGAGAACGAAGAATCAGGCAGCGATGAGGAGCTGGCATACGGTCACAAGTCGAACTCAGACGGGCAGCAAGTGACTGGACAATACAGGGTCCTGCTCCCCGACGGCCGCACCCAGATCGTCACCTACACCGCCGACAAGGAGCACGGGTACCGCGCTGATGTCACCTACGAAGGCGAAGCCCGCCCCTGGGTGCCTCCACAGGCCGATGATGATGATGATGATGATGATGCATCATACGCAGCTCCATCTGCCCCACGCTCCGCCTACTCCGCTCCCCAGTAAAACTTGGAACACAGTGTGATGTTTCTGAGTCATGAGTGTACACAGCTATCCCATCGATGCTACTTATTATTTATTTTCGAATAATAAACTATTTGCCTTCATTGCGAAACATTCAGACGGCTGTTTTAATCATCCAAATGGTTAAGATAAACTTCAAGATAAAGTTGTACCTAAAAACACGTGTTATTGTACAAAAGTACTCAATAAGAAAAATAAATGCATCCAACATGGGTATTGAACAAAGCGTGGGCAAAACAAGAATATTCATCGTGTACCAATCGTTTCAAGGACTAAAACACCTAAGCCCCGAAGCACTTGGTTAAACATTTTGATGCCGTGAGTTGTTAATTTCACAATTCTTCCAGCTTCAACAAAAAGTTGTTGAAAACTATAATTACCTTCTTGCCGACCAATGTTATCTGAACGAATAAGTAAGTGGCATTTAATTCCATATTAGAGCTTCACTGGAGTTTCTTGCAGCAATTCTCGAGGTTTGGCACCTTCACCTCGTCTCATGGCAAGGTGCGGCCGCTCACGCCGCTGGCGTCCACGCACTTCCGCTGTCATTTCGCTGGTGGCGGGCGGGGCTGCGGAAGTAGATTCACATTTTAAATTAGACTAAGGCTTCGCTAAAGAAAAAATTGAATTTGCATATTTATTACATATATTATAATTTATTAAACCATATTAGCGGTCACTGGGAATTAAATAGTGCAAGTTAGACTCCATCGAAGCGAAACCACTCGTAAGAAATCAAGGTTTCGCAATTACATACCCGTATGCCAATGATCTAATTATCGTGGTGGCCTTTGCGGAGAGAATATTTCCATAAAAGCAATGAAATGTGTTGTAGGATCGAACATAACTTTTGCACATGTTGCTTTGGCTCATTTAACCAAATGGGCATTTTTTTGCACTAGTAATATTAATGTTTAGCGATAATAACGGAATTCATAAACAGCTAATCTAAAATCAGACCCCACATTACAGCTAGTCAGACTTATAGATGACATATTAGGTTTGCGTACGCAGTGGGCACATAAACATATGCCTGAATAAATCAGTATACGATCTGCGGTCTTATGTGAGGAGGCGCAAAATTAAAATACTTAACAGTTCAGTAAAAAGTATTTTAATTTTACATTATGAGAAAAGAAGCTTGTTTTGTCGCTGTGGAAATCAGTCAAGGATCATTATCTTGGACGAGTTGCAGTTCCCGATCTCATATAGAACCCATGTTGTACTCATGTGTCCTGTACTCATGTATCTCAACAGTTAAGGGCAAGAAAATAATTTTGAATCTACGCTGAAACGCATAACCTAATTTATTAATTTATCAGGAATGTTATTTCATTGAGAATTGTAACTTCAATGCAGGAAACCGGCAATAATCAACGAACAAAAATTATTCTGAGATTTACACTAAAAATTACTTGTCATCACGTTTTACCTCGAAAATTTTTATACGTGCAACCACTATTTATTATATTGAACATATTGTGTTTAGCAAGAAGGTGCCGACTTAAAAGTTCCTACAAACCGCAATTCATTGTCAGAAACATTAAAGACGATAGAAAGAACTAAAACATTCAGGTTTTTTTGTGTCCTGCGAAGGATCATTTACTATTAAGTATTCAGCTTATCGATTCATTTCCGTATTCATCACACTCTGCTATTCAAGTGAAAAAACGAAGAAATTTCGTTTAAACAATACCTGGGACAAATTGCATGACTCCGCCGGCAAACCTTACGTAGTCATAAGAACGCACTCTAGTCTTAAGCCCTCGTCGACATAATTTCTCAAGTGCCCATTGATTTTCCGTTTCTCAAGATCATCCTCGGTTCGACTTTCGATGAACATTTGTAAACTATCCCAGAATCCCATAATGGGCCACTTACACTGATGATGTGAATTTGATACTAAAATGTAGTTAGCGGCTAGAAATATAGATACATTTTTGTTGGTATACAGAGTAATCAGTTTCGCTACGGAGAAAGCGGTATCATGCTGAAGCCAGTCAGGCGGGAAACCATCTGCTCTAATAATTTGACAATAAAATATTAGCTCTCAATAGAGACATTTGCTAAAATAAGTCAAAGCCTCCCCCGTATGACAATAATTGATGTATAATAATTATAAAACTCACTACTCACTGTTGACGAAGTCACTTTTTTTTGGCTCTCAGGACCAGCTTGTTATTTTTTTATGCACCTCTACGTTTGGCCTTCAGAGGTTTCGATAAAACTTACAGAACATATTATTATACGACACTTTATTTCAAGGATGCAAAAGTAGACGGGAGTAAATTTTTACTGAGTTAATGCCCACACGTCAAAGAAGCTAAGATTCCGCGGGCGCTGTTCCCTTTAGTTGACCCGCTTTGCTGTTCCCAAACAATTCATTCTCTTGTTGACTCGGCCTGTCTAATTGGAACACACAGCACTGACCTTACACAAAGCATTGAGCTCTTTTCCAGCCCCAAATTAGCGCCCTCTTTAGCAGCCTTTCTCGTGTGAGCGCCAGCATCCGTTCCAGAAGAATTCATGCATAAAATCATGAGCTCCAGGCTGCGATGTTTTGAAGTCCTTTGCGGGGGCCAATTTCCATGATGAGTCTTCTGGCAGAATGGCTGCGACTGGGAAGTGTAGCTTTCAACCGCTGAAATATTTGCATGGACAACATTTGCGAGACTCTGTTAGTCTCCCAGTAAAAGTTTATCCATGTCTCCGATGCAGCCGGCGCCACGATGTGGTGAGTCATGCCACAATGTTGTGAGTCATGTCACGACGTGGTGAGTCATTGGGTTCAGTTAATTTTTAGTTACGGTAGGCATGCAATAAACATACCTAATTAAGACGTTTTACTGTCAGCTCCTTGGAGTTTCAAGTGTTATGATAAAATGTAACCATTATATCAAGCTTTCATAAAAATATATGTAAACTTGTATGATTTCTTAAAATTTCCGATACTGGACGAACATACTAAAATAATTTATAAAAAATTGATCTTGCCAAATAGGAAAGTCACTGGTAAATTTATTTCAGTTTTCTGCACGACTAAACGACTCAACAATCTACGGAACATATTCAGCAAATTACAATGTCACTCTAAAGAAAATGTGTAAATAAGACGGTCTATTTTAGACCTGAGCCAAGGAATGTGTGCATTATGTACCTAAATTTAAATTATGCTTCAGAGATCACCAACATGAAACAAGAGAACAAATTCAGTGAAAATCCTATTCAGTATAACGAGCAATGCAACATGAACGATGAGTTGACGGTTTGGCCTACCGAAAAAGAAATTTTTATTCGATTCTGAGAATCAGGATCATCTAATTCAATTCATCACGAACCTAAATATTAGCATGGAAAACATACGCGAAACATACGCGAAAGAAAACCAAAACTTTTCTTCCCTTCAAGCTCAAAATTCTAAACACTTTATTGCTGCCCTAAATTCTAATATGACGTGCTTACTGCACTCAAATCAAATGACAAAAAGTATTCATTTCATCGAAAATATATAACACAATTGCTGTATAGCTTACATCGATTGTTATCAATAACAAAAGCAAATCAGGAACGTGCGGGCAGCCTAATTATTTTAATCTGTCTCGTGGATGAAGTTCGTATCACCATTATTAACGAACATGTGCCGATATAGAATTTAATTTATGTTTTTTTTGGGGGGTGGGGTGGGGGGCGAGTGGGCAATATTGAACTCAAACCAAGTCCTTCGAATGAACAGGCAGCCCAAAAATGACAAGATTTTATATCAAGACAGAACTTTCGACCATCGCCACTTCAGAGACGATTTTATCTACGATATAAAGCTGCTGTTATCTATACATGAATGACCGGGTGGTTTACTTGGCGTTTCTCGTCATAAATTGTGGAAATTTTAGAATCTATAATTTCTTATTTTTTGAACTATATAGTAGTTATATGTATTAGTTAAAGAGATACCCATTCAAACCTCAAATTTCGACTCGACTCATATTGCTAAGAAATATTAATTTTATTATTTATAAAATACAAACTTGCTGAATTAAAATTACATTCCTTTAATTTTCCATACCATTCTTTTCCGCATTTTACACGGCCCACGCTACCCCACAAAATATAAATGAAATTTCTGTTTAAAGTGATTAATTAAAGTAACTAAAGTGATTAATTAAAATAATTTAAGTGATTAATTAAAGTGATTAACAACTATAACTCAAAACTCGGTCGTCGGTCCGCATTGGACTAGTCTTCAGAGGCTCCCGCAAATTTGAAAAGACGAAAAAAATGAAATTTCAGATCAAGCTACAATCCCGATGCGAAACATCTCGTGGATAGCATAGTCGCTGCTCGATTAACACCTAAATATGTGCAGCGGCAGGCTTTACTTCACACAAAATAAAACCACGGATAAAAAAAATTTCTTTGCTGTATAATAGAGACCAGTGTTGTTGCCTTATTAGGAAGCTGCGTTAAATATTGTAGCTAGATTTGTAATGCATTTGTAATTCACATTTTCACTTGAAAATTGGTCCTATTTACGCGCAGTTGCTCCTAATAGCAAGGAGCTGATTGAGATAAAATTACCACTTTGAAAAATAATTAGTGATATAAAATTGACTAAACACTCAACTTGTTATGAGTCAATGGAAATTTTTGTGTTGATACCGAAGTTGAAACTGGTACGCAACTCTAACACTTATTTTTACAATACCAAAGTTGAAGTGAATGAAACGGTTAAGCGTAAAATTCCAAACTTAAGCGAGAGAGTGGAAATGTAAAAACTAATTTGAATTATCATTCTTTAAAATTTGTTCCTATTAAAAGAGATTAATTTCCATGCCCACTATATAGATTTCAGCAAAATGCCACAAGCTGGGCTGTGTCAATGACACTGTTAACTGTCAACGCAACGAAATGAATTCTATTTACTTTTCATAATCGTTTTACCCTATCATTACCTAAGCATGTATAATGAGGCCGGCCGATGCTTAGGAACGTTAACGATGCAGCTGTGCTACGGTGAACTAACCGAGTGTCTGGGACTGTCGCTTTGGTGGTCGAGCTCCAATAAACATATCTTACGAAGCTTTTGTCGCGACCTTAGAA